TGGTCAATGATATGTTCTAACTGCACGAGTGGGGAGGTTCGTATGTCACCATCGGTCTACTTGGAGGCGTTCCTATGATACCATTGGCCGAGGGCGTGGCCTTGAGACACGAGGAACGTTCCTACGTCACCAGGGGTCGTGGCCTAGACTGACAGGTCACTTCCGCTCCAGAACATATACTGTCTGTCTATCTACTCCTGTAAATTTTTATAAATTGTATGTCCAGAGCACTGAACAAATTTTCAATGGACACTAACTGTAAAGATGAATTAATCAAATTCACCGCGGAAAAGAAAAACAACAACTCAATACCATTTCTGGATGTGTTTTACAATGGAGAATACAGGATATGTAGCTAAAGTCTACAGAAAATCCGATTGGAAATCGAAACATCAAAAAAATGTAAAATGTAATTCTCATTACAAACAATTGTGGCTTAATCCCATATATAATAATAACTTTTCTTGTATTTCAGTACACTTTTGCTAGTACCACAAAGGAAATCCTATGAACAGTGTCATACATCATCCTTATTATGTCTTTATTCAATTTCTTTGTAACTTTTCTGTTAAATTTTATCACAACATTAAATATCGGTTATGACAATTCATGTCAGATAACATAAAACAATATCAAACATTCATAGTTTTCTTTTGTTAGAAGTGTTTAGTTTTTAGGAATAGATTAAGTTTCAAAATAATAAAAAGCAAAAAAATGATTTTTATAATAAATGGGAAAATTAAAATAATGAGAGAATATAATGCATTTGTTACATACAGATAAGAAGTTGAAAAAAAAAAATACATATCGAGCAATAAAAGCACAAAAGGACCCCAGCACTTTTCTTATGTAAAAGTGGTTTCAGTTAAATTTGCAGAAACTTAACTTTAGTCATGCTGATCAAAAGTTATCATTGCACCAAAACTCAAGAATTCAATTGTTTTTAGTCACAGCAAAAAATAACATCTTTAGTGGCCTTATCAATCTTTTTCGGTTTGTGTCCAACTCTTGACGTTCAATTTTTTGAAATCCAACTGCATCCCCAGCTGAAATATCTCGTAAAACTGTCGGTCTCTGGTAAGTTCAAATATCCTTATCACAATATTAGTTTCCGAATGTGTACTATTGTCACCCCGCAAACAGGAATATATATTTAGGATAACCCTTTAAGCTTGAACACGTGAGTCCTTATTTACAAATTCTCAATTCATTGGTGTTGGATCTAAAAGAAATATGTTTACTTTTAATTGTTAAACAAATAGATTGAAGATTAAGATTAGGACCGAGTATCTCTATATCTTCTTCTTCTAATAGCGCTACAACCCTTTGTAAGTCTTGGCCTGCTTAACAATATTCTTCCATTCTGCCCTGTCGGATACTTTCCTTCGCCACTGCCTGATGTTCATGGTTTTAAGATCCCTCTCTACGTCGTCTATACATCTTTTACGGGATCTTCTTCTTTTTCTGTTTCCTTGGGGCTTCCATCTCTGGACTACTTTTACAGCTCGATTATCTGGCATTCTTTCTAGGTGACCAAGCCAGTTTAGTCTTTGTGACTTTACAAATCTAACAATATTTGTGCTCTGCATTAGTTCATCCAGCTTGTGGTTCATTTTAATTCTCCACGAACCATCGCTGCATGGGGTTGGTCCAAATATCTTCCTTAGTATTTGGCGCTAAAATATTCTTAGTTGATTTTCATCAGTGGTTTAAAGGGTCCACCTTTCACATCCATATGTGACCACTGGTCTAATTACAGTTTTGTAGATTCTAAGCTTAGACTCACGATTCAGTAACTTACTTTTCATTAAGTCTTTGTACGCATAAAAGAACTTATTACCGCTAAGAATCCGTGCTTGTATTTCTTGACTGATATTGTTGTTGTCATTTATTATTGAGCCTAGGTAGGGAAAAGTGGAGGCATATTTGTAATTATGGTTGTGTACCTTCAGATTCTCATGTTGATTCGATTCTGTGCGCTCCACATATTTTGTTTTGTTTTCATTTATATATAGACCAAACGTAGCAGCTTCTCGTTTCAGTTCTATAACTTTTTCGTTTAGTACCCTTTTCATGTGGCTTATTATGGCAATATCATCCGCATATGCGCATATTATATGCGCATATTTGCATTAATCTTGTCTTAATACAGCCGTTTATATCTAGTTTTCTAACAGCTTCTAAAGCTATATTAAAAAGTGTTATTGGTAAGGCATCACCTTATCTAACTCCATTTTCAATATCAAAGGCTTGCGTCATATCTCCATCTATTCTCACCATAGCTTTGGAACCCTCCAAAGTCATTCGTATAAGTTTAAGAAACTTATTTTGTATCCCTAATATAGATAGTTACCTTAACATCTTTTGTCGATCTACTTCATCAAACGCCTGTTTGACATCGATATACAAGTTGTAAATAGTTAAGTTATATTCAACACATTTTTCATGTATACCTCTTAACATATGCATTTGGTCTATAGTTGACCTCTTTGGTCTGAAGCCACATTGGTTTCACCAATCATCTCCCCCGAAAACGATTCCAGGCGACTGTATATAATTCCTAATAATATCTTGTAGACGACATTTAAAACTGTTAAGCACCTATAATTTTTGCATAGTCGTTTGTCTCTCCCTTTGTACATAGGAAGTATGATTTCTACTTTCCAATCTTCTGGGATGACTTCTAGTGTCCATATGTTCTACAGTTATTCCATCTGTGCCGGATGCTTTGTTATTTTTTAGATGTTTTATGACGTTTATCGTTTCTTCCAATAAAGGTTGCTCAACTAGTTGTTCTGCTGTGTGTTGAATTATTTCTTCATCTTCGTTTTGTTCTTTTTCTGGGTTCAACAGCTCTTGAAAATGCTCCTTCAACCTTTTCATTATTTCCTCTTTCTCGCTGATAATTGCCTCATTTTTATCCTTGCAAACTGTTAATCTTGTCATGTATCCTTGGGTGTATTGCTTGGTTTCCTTGTAAAATTTTCTAGTCTCTCTTCTGTTATTATAATCTGTAATTTGTTGTATTTTTATATTCAACATTTCTCTCTTTTTACTTCTACATATTTTCTTTGTATCTTTTCTGAGTTCTTCATATGCCCTTCTATTCAATCGGCAATCCCTTTGTAGACATTTCTGTCTAGCTATATTTTTGCCATTTCTTACTTGTTGGCAATCTTGATCAAACCATTCCTCGTTTCTTTTGCTTGAGGTTTCACCTAATGTTTCCTTTGCCATATACGTTTGCCATTGCCAACTGTGCCACTCTTATACCGTTGTTGCTGGTAATATCATGTAAACTATGCTTACCAAAGGATTCTGCATATATTGGCCCTTTTCCCAGCTTCGCGTTCATATCACCCATGACTACAGCTGCATCTCTCTTCTGTGCTTTTTAACATTCTACTTGTAGTTAGTCATTGAAGAAGAAGAAAGAAAAGCCTTCTTTAATATGTATTTACAACTTATTTCTATTATCTACCTAAAACACAAGCCTATCTCTTGAACAAATATATTAAAAAAATAAATACACTTGTCTATCACGACGATACTGATTATATTGCTTATCTGAGAACGTATTTCTTGTCATATAAGGAAAAGTTTGCGTTTAAATATTTCCTAAAAATTTGACCAATTACACTTCAGTAGTGCCCAATAAGATATGTTAGAAAATAATAAGCCACACCTGCGTCCATGTGGACAATACCGGGAGTGATCAATCACGAAGGTTTAATTTTATTTCAACGATCGTAGAATTACTAACCGGACCCCAAAAATTCGTCTGTTTCAATTTCGATTTTTAATTTGAAAAATCTCAGTAGCGTACCTTTTTTTTATTTAAAAAAATTGAGACCATTACCCATATGCGCGCCAATGATTAATACAAGATTTATAATTGTATGTCCAAAAATTCGCAATAACCAATTCTTAAAACCCACCAAATTTCATTTGAAATCTGAACCGGATTCAGGGTATAAATCGTTAGTTTGTAAGAAAAATTTTAACACCCCATATCTCGGAAAAAGAAGCATTTGTGGACATTCGTTTATATAGTAAACTGTCATTATTTTTTTTTTTTGCAGAATCACTCCCTGAAGTTAGTTGCACGTATTTACTAAAACTCTGTCTTTATTGTAAATATTCCAATTCTAATTCGGTAACAAATGATTTCTGAGTCTTGGTGCAATGATCTTTAAATCAGCATAACCAAAGCTATCTACAAAGCTTCAGTCAATTTAATTGAAACTACTTTTACCTAAGAAAAGTATTAGGGTCCTTTATGAGACATTTTTTTATATACAGACAGGCCCAAATGAATTGTTAGAAATAACTAATCATCATGGATTGGTATACTAATTAAAATTTTATTAGACATGTAGGGATTCTCATATTAGAGTAGGATGTAGTGTATCTAGGTGTATTTCATTTTAATTTCGATGTCTATTCCAAAAACATCTCACTGTATTAATTATTTCCTGTACCTACTTTTAATAATTTAGTCTTGTTTAATTTTTAGTGAATTTCGAATTAACACATAAACATTTTGGTTTGTGAATTTTTTCTTGTTTTTATAGTGGAGTAATTATTTTAAACTGTGTTTGTAACTAATATACATATGAATGAAATACATATTTTAAACTAATAAAAATAGGTAAAACATGAAATATTTGAGATACAAAAAAATTTTCCATGTCCGACCATGACTGGCAGAAGATATTTAATGATTTTGAGCAAAGAAAAGACAAAATACTAACTTCAGTATTTGTGGTAGATAAATCAGAGACGAAAAAACTTAGGAAATAGAATGGAAAATTTTCAGAACCTAAATACAGAGATTGTATGATTCAACTTGGCATATTTCACAAAACTTCTAAACTTCAATCAAATTTAAATAAGGAGCCTTGTGAAAGAAAGTAAATATTTCAAATATTTCTTTATAAGTACTAAGTAACATGAGTGAAAAAATGTTGTTTCTAAGTTGTCGTGCAACAATATAATACCTTGCTCGGCGTATAGGTCTATATCCTGAGTAAAAACCACGACTTATTCCTCGACTGCCACGGAATGAACTTCTGCCTCTCGGAGGCCGATTAGTAGTCGAGATTCCTGGTCTGTTCGTCCTTTTCTGCATTATCTGTAAAAAAGGAAGTTTCACTACTCTTACAGTATTGTGCAAATTATTGTGAACAAACAGAATTAATTTGTAAATATGATTTATTTATGCCAAAGGTAAATTTAGGTACACTTACATGAGATTTTTTCATTAATTAGTATTTAATATGTATCCCTTTTTACTTTTATGATTTCCTGGAGTCTTCTAGGCATGGAATACACAAGTTTTTTGCAATTGTTTGTGATTGCTTCATCTCTAAACCACACCTTAATCACTGCTTCCACCATTTTTGTTTTTGTCGTACAGTCAAATTTTTGCAGTTTAGCCTTATTATTGCCCACAAATTTTCAATAGGATTAAGGTCAGGTGAATTCCCAAGTCAATCAAGAAGGGTAATATTATTATCCTTGAAGTATTTCATCATAACCTTCGATTCATGGCACGGAGTTGAATCTTGTTGAAAAATTGCAGTTCCTTCGGCCTGTACTTTGTCAAGCCTATAGCTAAGCGTTGCCCTAGCATGGCTTTGTATGTTTCACTGTTCATCATACCTTCAATAGGAATAAGAGTACCAGTTCCTGAGTATGAAAAACAGCCCCAGAACATTTTTTTTGTGGTATGTTTAACTGTTTGGTTAATATGGCTAGCTAAAAGTGACTCATTGGCTGCCTTTCGTACGAATTTTGATCGCTGGCCTTACACTGGTAAGTGGGTCTCATCAGAAAATAACACTTTTCTCCAATCTTTTGCACTCCAATGAGCGTATTTTTTGCCCAATTTAGTCTTTTTTTCATCATAGGCGCTGTCAGAACTTGTTTCTTCTCACGGCTCTTCTCCCTCCTTCTAAGAGATGTTTGCGTACCGTTGAGTCGTGAATTTTTATTCCAGCCTTTTCTAAATCTTGCTGGATGTCATAATTTGTTTTTCTGTGATTAAACTTCATCCCTCCGAGTCATTGGTGTATGCTCACTAAGTGTTATGATCCTTTCTCGCTTCCTAGGAGTGATATTCATATTAAAAAGTTAAACCTGATTGCACAGTTAAACCAATGAAAATAACACCAACTTGCACATAACCTGAGACACAACAAAATATAATAATGATATAAAACACAAAGCACGTGTTTTGAACAATAAACTAATAAGGTTTTGAGGTTATGTTGTTTTTTTTTTTGACAAAACAGTTGGCAGAATAGGCACAGCAGGTGTGCCAACTTATGAAAACTGAATTTCGATCTCTGTTCACATTAATTCGTAAAATTCTGCAATACCTTAAAGGCCAAATTCAATTAAGAAATCAGAAGTGCTAAAGATTTTCTTAATTTTTCACTGTCACCAACAATATTTTTCTGTCAATCACTTGTGCTTTCTTTGATCGTAATTTTATTATGTCTTGGTTTGTGATCAAACTTTTTAAAACAAGGCTTTTTGCCCACTTTTTTTAATTGTTGTTCTACTCTAGTTAATTTTATTGATATTATTATTATTATTATACCATTGCCCACTAGGACGACATTAAAAAACCCAAACGTGAAGTATACAGAACCCAAAAAAGAAAGCATGGGATGCTCTTGAAACTTAATGTACTTTTAACATTTGTCACAGTCACAAATATTAATACTGTTATACTGTGATAAGTACAAGTACATAATTATAAATTTAAACTAAAGTTGAACACAAACCTTAATCTGTCTTCCTCTAAATAATGATTCATCCATTGCCATTGCAGTTTGTACAGAGTCCCTATCACCGAATTCGATATAAGCAAACCCCTTGGGATGATTATCATATTTGTTACAAAGTATAGTAACCCTGTTGATGGAACCACATCCATGGAAATGTTGTTCCAGTTCTTCAGCCGTCGCCCCATAGTCCACATTACCAACATAAATACTTCTGTTGTCCACTTCCATTTTTTCCTCCAGTGACATATTCAAAGGACTCGCTGAAACAATTAATTTAATTTATTAGACCCTAATTAAAAAAAAAACTGAAACATCTTTTATACTACTTTGAATGTTATGTGCACAGTAGACTCCTGTAAGTTCGGCCACTTAAAAGTGTCCTAGAGTATGTTTCAACTGTAGTGGAGAAAATTTTTAGGAACAGTAAAGTCTCACCAAACAAAGCAGGGGCGTTCCAAAAAAAAACTTATGATTTAAATTAAATTGTTAAAGATAGGTACAGACAATTTATTAAACAATGATATTAGATTACATTTCTGGCAATATTGTACTACATCTTAATACATATTATTATAATACAGGGTGTCCCATAATTAATTGGACATTAACTAATGGGTGATAGCTGACATCAAAATAAAGCGTTTGAGCTCAAATTGCTTAGGCAAAATGTTGCTAGTTTTCGTTCTACAGGGTGATTCATTATTTTTTTATATTATTTTTAGTGATATATTGAAAACTATTCAACCGATTTAAGTAAAATTTGGTATCTTGCTATTATTTAGTATGCTTAATATGAAAATAATATTAGTTTTACCGATGGCACTAGGTGGCGCCACCTACTATAACATTGGTTCATTAATGGGGCCATAATTTTTTTTCCCGCCCTGTATAAACATTCTAGGAAAAAAACATGAAATAACATTCAATTCTACACAAAAAAGGTATTCTTGTTTCAAATCAAAAAAGTACACCGTTTTCGAAATAAACGTATTATTTAGAGACGTGCATAAAATAAAAAAATTTTACAAAAACGTATGTAAATTCAAACATTATTCAAAAGGTCAAAAATAAAAGTGAATATTAAATGTATTAGTAGTAGATAATTTTTGCAGACAAAATGCATATGATTGAAACAATTATTTTTATTAAACCTTTGACCCAGTAACAAATTTAAAAAAAATCAGAAATTAAATTAAACAATGAAGTGAATATAAAACAATTAACAAAGTGAATAATTCAAAACGAAACGAAAAAAAATTACAATAAGTGTTCAAAATGTGCACCATTAGATAAACTACATAATCTAAATCTTTTGTGTAAGTTTTGTCTTATTTTAAATAATGAGTTTCCTTTGGGCCCTAATTACGTTAACAATATGTAGAGGGACTACAATATTTTGCCATAACTCTTGACGGTTATTTATTATTTTTTTATAAACAAATGACTTTAGGTAGCTCCACAAGTGAAAGTCTAGGGGATAAAGTTCGGGACTGCGTGCTGGCCATGGGTATACACTACCTCTACCAATCCACCTTTGAGGATAAATTTCATCTAGATAATTTCTAACTTCTAGGCTATAATGTGGTGGTGCACCATCATGCATGTACCAAGAGTCCCGTTTCAAATTTAGAGGTATGTCTTCTAAAAGAGTTGGTAAATCTTTTCTCAAAAAATTTAGATACGTTACTCCGTCAAGCCTAGTTGGTAATTCGAATGGTCCTACAATACAATCCCCAAATATGCCACACCAGATATTTATGGAAAACTCGTGCTGAAAATGATGTTTTTGAAATGCATGAGGATTTTCTGTAGCGTAGGTATGGCTATTGCGCCAGTTAAATACACCCCTTCTAGTAAATGTGGCTTCATCGGTAAATAAAATTTTATTAAAAACATTGGATCGTCTAAATGCCGCCCCATCATAAACTGACTAAATCGGAGCCTTGCTGGAAAATCCTGTGGTAAAAGATTATGTACTGGAGTAAAACGATACGGATACAGATTTTCTGTCCGTATTATTCTTGACACCGTAGATTTGCTTATACCAGTAGCCGCAGAAAGAAGCCTTGTACTTGTTTCTGGATCTTCTGCAACACGCACAACAATTTCATCCTCCATATCCGCATCAATTACTCTCGGTCTTCCAGCATTCCTGTTTTTGGGATGAAATGACCCTGTTTCGCCTAATCTGTCGAACAATGATCTAATAGATTTATGGTTTGGTTTCCTTCTATTGGGATAAAGTTCGAAATAGAGTTCAGCTGCTTTACGAGAACAAAAATTTTCCTGGGCATACAAACAGATTATATCGCGCATTTCTACATTAGAAAATTTACTATGACGTGGCATTTTTCCTTTATCTTAAGTGGTTTATAAAAAACTTAATAGCACTTTGACAAATAATGACTCGCACTGCACTTTGACAACAAATAGTAAACAAATTTGTACTTACGCCTTGACTTTGCCATTAAGTTCACAGCATACCTAGGTACCTGCTTGTTTTGCGAAAAACAAAATACGTTTATTTCGAAAACGGTGTACTTTTTTGATTTGAAACAAGAATACCTTTTTTGTGTAGAATTGAATGTTGCTTCATGTTTTTTTTTTCCTAGAATGTTTATACAGGGCGGACAAAAAAATTATGGCCCCATTAATGAACCAATGTTACAGTAGGTGGCGCCACCTAGTGTCAATGGTAAAACTAATATCATTTTCTTATTAAGCATACTAAATAAATGCAAGATACCAAATTTTTCAATATATCCATAAAAATAATATAAAAAAATATTAATGAATCTCCCTGTAGAACGAAAACTAGCAACATTTTTCCTAAGCAATTTGAGCTCAAACGCTTTATTTTGATGTCAGCTATCACCCATTAGCTAATGTCCAATTAATTATGGGACACCCTGTATATCACATACATATAAACCATAGATACGTTACAGGTTACAGTATTAATAAATATTAATTACAGAGATTGTTGTAACTTAAACCTTTATTATTTATATTATTACTCACTTAAAGGTCACAAAGTTAAATAGGAGAATATACGCAATGATTGTAATAAGATAAAAAATAATACATACATACAGGACAATTTGGAAAACTTATATTCACATAGGTTACATAGTACATCGTAATGTTAAATTATATTATTCACTTTCATAATAAGATGCACTGCCGTCGTCACTAGAATCATTTAAATGAATCCTTTATTCTTCAGTAATTACATCTATGCGAGTTCAGTTTCCAAATACTTATCGTCAACCTTGAAAACATTCTCAACACATCAGTAACACATCAGTAACTCACACTTCCAGTCCACTCGTACACCTCTTCAAGCCTTTTCTGCAAAAGCTTAAATGTAAGACGACAACGTTTAGTCTCATGAAAACGATGAATGGTATTTCTAATTAACTGTTTGTCATACTTCCTCAAGTCTGTCACAGTTGCTTTCCTTTTAGCAAGTGTTGTAGCTGAAAATTTTAGTGTATTATTTTACAGTGCGTTTGTTAACATACTCGCTTGTTGAATGATCCTTTATATTGTACGTAAAGATACTCCAGTAGCTTCACTCACACGTTGTTTAATACTGGTCCGATTATCGTCAGGAAATAGTACTTGCATATATTTAAATACATTGTAAACTATTCCTTTGGATTCTGGTGTCAATCTGATCTGTTAAGGTTGATCTTCACCCTCGATTAATTTGTTTCTGATCCTAGAGATGGCTCTACTGCGGCATGCTACTGTGGTAAATTTTTTAACTTAATTGTAGATTTCTACATGACGACTCTGTAATATTTTCAAATCCTAACATAAATTGCAGTTTTCTGTCCGTATATCAATTGGCTGAGTTGCCAAGTTGTGTAGACAGTAATTTTATCAAATATGCTATAACTTATATGGTTACTATGGTCTGTTTTTTAACCAGGAGGAGTAATTCAAATTTTCCGCGCCGTAATGCTTGTTTGCAATTGGTCCAACCGCAGGCAAGTTTACTCCACTAAATTATGACATATTGACACTAATGACATTTGTGAAATTTATTTATTATTAATTATTATTATTTTCCTCTAATATATAAATCGATTTCTGACTCTTTGTTTGTAATAACTTGGACTTCGTGATATGCGAATAGTATTTAATGTGATATTTTTCTAGATGATATTTATACTAAATATAGTCCAGAGCGTTTATAAATTTATAAATGTATGTTATTCATATCTAATTATCATAAGAAAAACGGCAACTATCTTTTAAATTTAGTTTATACTTGTTAAGAAGCATTTCCATTTTGTTTTCATCACAATAAAAGGACATTAAGTAAAGTAATGTTGTGTTTTAGTTTGATTGTATGATATAGTTGGTTTTGTTCTTCCTGGTTGAAGATCATCACAAAAAAACTGCAAAATTATGCAAGAATGTAACATAAAAGATTGGATTTGTTGATTACCTCACAAAAATCCAGTATTTTTTAGTAAATTTTATTTATTGATAACAAATGGGACAAACTCACTGTCAACATTAAACAAGAATCCAGCATTAAAGAAATTGTAAGTACACACTTATATTTATACAAAGTATTTGGTAAGAAAAAAAAACTAGATTCAAGAAATTGATCATACCAGAATAAGAATTTGGTCTACTATTAAAAGACAAATTTCTGAGAAAAACCATACTTAGATCTGTAACATTATTGACTCTCCCGATCAAAATATTCTCTAAATTATAATTAAATACCATAGATTTAAGAGATCTATAAAACTGGATCACCCGATATTTAAATATATATACATGGGACCAAATGTGAAAAACGTCCTTTTTTATTGTAATAATTGTAATATATATTGGAAGTGAATTGAAAAAAAATTATTTTATTATTCAAACATAAATAAACAAAATTAGGTTAACATTGACGTGTGAGGTTGTCCAATATTGATTACTCGATTATCGCAAGGCCGAGATAATCAACAAAAAAAGAAGATGTATTTGGTGACTTTTTTAGTAACTTTCTTGAGTGTGAATCTGTCTTTTTGGTTTACTCCTCCTGGTTAAAAAACAGGGTATAGTAGACCAACTAAGCAAAGATATCTTATAACAACATCTTTATGTATTATACTTTACTGTTCTGCTATGTCAGTCGGGATATAATATACCAAATTCATTCATTATCTAAACAATTTTACCGACAAAGAAATTATGTATGTTGCGGCTTTGTTTGTGAGTATAGTATTAAATTCGTACATCATATTAT